CCAAGCCCAACAGGGGCTCAGGGGCTCAAGACACCCAAACTCCTCGGCTGCACCTAGGTCCGCGACTCCGACTCGCCCGATCCCCCGGCGCCTGGATCCGCGACTCCGACTCGCCCGGTCCCACAGCGCGCCTAACAGCTAGATCCACGACTCCAACTCGCTCTATCCCTCTGCGCCTAGATCCACGACTCTAACTCGCCTGATCCCACGATGCGCCCGACGCCTAGATCCGCAACTCTCTGACTCGCCCGATCCCCCGGCGCCTGGATCCACAACTCCGACTCGCCTAGTCCCACGGCGCGCCCGACGCCTAGATCCATGACACCGACTCGCCTAGTCCCACGGCGCATCCAACGCGACTCCGTCTCACCCAGTCCCTCGACCGCAACCAAACGCCTAGGACCACGCTCCTGGAGACGATGGGCTAGAAACTAGAAAAGGGAGGCTACGCCCACCAAAAGTGCACACACTCATGCCCGCTGACTAAACTCCCCAGGCGATTCTACCCGAATCGCCCTGGGGGCTCGGGGGCTACACCTGCGGGTGCGCTCGCGCGCACCCGCTGACGAAACAAAACTTCCCCCGTTGGCAACACAAAAAACCCTCCAGACGATTCTACCCGAATCGTCCGGGGGCTCGGAGGCTACACCCGCGGGTGCGCTCGCGCGCACCCGCCGTCAAAACAAAAAACCCCTAGACGATTCTGCCCGAATCGCCCGGGGGCTCAGGGACTCCTATCGGGTTCATAAACTCGGGGTTCCTCATGAACCGGCTTCCCAATAAAGGCTCGACCCAGCAGACAACGTTGCGAATGACGCGCAACTCCTGGGCTGGCCCAAAAACCTAAACAACAGACCAGAAGGGCAATCCAATCTCCAACTGGAAGGCCTAGCCGAGGAGGAACAGCGCCCGCTTCTGACTCCGGCCCGCCTCTCCGACCAGAAGGCCTCACTGAGGAGGAACAGCGCTCGATTCCGACTCTGGCCCGCCCCCGAGCGTCCTCTCCGACCGGAAGGTCTGGCCAAACACTACTTCTGACTCCGACCTGCGTCTCCGACCGGGGATGCGCCGAGTCCCAGCTTACAGCTCTTCTTAGACTGGCGCAATCAGAGCCGACTGGGACCAACCAACCGGGGACGCCCGCTCGGTGGGGACCAGAAAACGGACGGAGAAAGTAAGGCAGGGAACTCAAGTCAACCGCAATACCAAGGATCGTACCCTATGCACCTATAGGACAGTACCCTACGACCCTCCTGGCATGACAAAACCCAAGCAATGTTGTAGCCGCCGACATTTTCCCTACAATATTGTGGGTGCCATCAACTCCCATACTAGACAAACACGGTAAGGCTCCCCCCACGTGCCCCTAGGCATCAACAGTGTTGTGGGCGCCGGCATTTACCATACCAGGCGAACATGGTAAAACCCCTTACATGCCTCTAGGCATCAACCGTGTAGCAAGCACCGACATCTACCATACCGGAAGAAGACGACGCAACCTCCCACATGCATCTGACATTTATAGTGTTACGGGCGCCTACAATCATCTTGTACCTGACGGCGTGGGTAACAAGACTTAACATATGTTCTCTCTCTCTCTCTTGTAAGGCCATCCCCTTCATCTATAAAAGGGGATGCGCTTTCTCCCAAAGGGGAGAGATCAGTTCACTTAGATCAATTCAACACACAACAACAGAACCACCAGGTTCGGACCTCGAGCACATGTTCGAACACTCAGCACATAGCGGAGACTCCGTCACTCTCGGCTCTTCAGACCAGAGTCCGACCAGACCTCTTGTACCTCCTATCTTTCTCCTTCTCGTTTGTAACTTCACTGCAAACTTCGAGCATCTGGGCTTAGGAATAAAGTCACCAACCGACTCAAACTGGACGTATGACATTTTGCCTGAACCAGTATAAACCCTCTATCATTGAGTGCTTGGCCACATCCAATCACAATGTACGGTAAAACTACAAATATTTACGTGTTGGTCACTTTCTGCACCGACAACGAGTGAATGCTTCACCATAAGCAATGTAAGAAAGACAAATGTGGGTTCTTTGTTTTTCACCACAATGGATACAGAAGATGGATGCCTCGGTCTTATTTGAGCCAACTATTTCTTGGGACTTCTTACCGCATGTCCGTGGAGATAATAAGGAGCTTAGTGATTTGCCACTGCTGTTGACAGTGAATAAAAGTTAGATAATACTTGAGTTCACAAAATATGGTGTAACACCCTCGGTGTTAAGCCTTTAAATTAAATTCATAATCATGTTGTGAGCATCATAATTCTCCTTCGTTGCATGTTTTGTGTGTTGCTTAAGCTTGTTGTCAACATAAAAATACTAGGTCAAACCCTTAGGAGATAAGTGATTCATACAATGCTCTTAATTTTTAATGTCTTGGTTAAGGCTATTTATTAAGCAAATTTGTATAAAACTTGTGTTGTCCTTATATATAAAACATGTAGTAATGTTCTAGTGAAATGGCATGAACTTAGACCCACTATAATGTTTTGTGTTTTCAAAAGATTGTTAGGCTTGCAAAAACCGAAACTAAAATTGAATCTAGTCTCGTATTGATGAAAATCCTAAGTCTGAATTGTTGAAGCCATGTTGAATCCAGTCTCATGTTTTAAGAAAAGCCATAACTACTTATAATTTGAAACAGAGGGAGTACTTACGAAAACATGAACTTGTAGCCATATTAGGAACCCTTTGGTTGAGCTAATGAGCATAAAAAGTCCTGGGCGCAAATTCCCCAGGTCATTTAACGTTAAAAGATAGCATTAGAACTGTATTAGGGCGTGTTTGCTTACCTGGCTCAGGCCAGCATGGGCCAAGCTCCCCAGCTGTAGCTTCTCTTTGTTTGTTTTCCTGGTCCAGCTTTCCAGCCCAGCCAGCATGGGCCTCAAAGCACCCTTTGGCCTGGCTCTCAAGAAACAAAAATGGACTTCGTTTTTCTAGAGCTTGGCTTACATGTTGCAGCCTTGGGCCATGTCAGGGAGTTATTGTGAGAGTAAAAAAGGCTAGAGCCCACCTCTAGTTTAGGCAAACAAATAAAGGCTTACTTAGGCCAGCCAACATCCTATTCAGTGCAGCTATTGTGCCTGTCTCTATCTAATTAGGTCCATCTCAGATGAACGGGCCACCCTGATGCAGGGAAATAAACACGCCCTTAGTGACCGGTTCCATCACAACTGGGATAGACAAATTTGAGGCTGTTTCTAGCAGCTGAGCATCAAACTGAATTAATTACTAAATGGTTGTAGCTGTAGAAAGATCGATGTTCAAATTGAGTGGTTACTACTGGTTCCCCGGGAGAAAGTTGTTGCGGCCTGTGGCTGTAGAAAGATCGATGCAAGCTATAGGCTCCGTTCGCTGGTCTAAAACTTGGTTGAAACTGGCTGGTTGTTATGAGAGACACTGTAGCGGCTGGTTGATGAACAATGTTTTGTGAGGAGGAGCGGCGGCTGGTGTGGAAAAACCAGACCAGCGAACGCAGCCATAGCATCCAGTGGAAGCATGAGCTGACACGCTCCCAAAGGCACATAGATACTGAATGGGGACCGTTTGGATAACCAGCTAACTATTAGCTATATTAGCTAGGAACTAATAATTGTTAGCTGATGGTAGGTAAGAGATTATTTAGTTGTGTTAGCTGGAAAAAACCAGCCAATAACTACTAATTATTAGCTGAGTGGTAGGTAAGAGATTTTTTTTCTTGGAAAAACCAACTAATAACGAGTAATTGTTAGCTGGGTGGTAGTAAGAGATTATTTAGCTGTGTTAGCTGGGAGAAATTAGCTAATTACTAGTAATTCTTAGCTGGGTGGTAAGTAAGAGATTATTTAGATGTGCTAGTTAGGAGAAACCAGCTAATAACCTGTAATTGTTAGATGGGTGGTAGGTAAAACATTATTTAGTTGTGTTAGCAGGAAGAAATCAGCTAAATAGCTAGTAATTGTTAGCTAGGTGGTAGATAAGATATTATCTAATTTATTATCCGAGGATCAAACAAGACCTTAACTATTTTTTAACAGCTAACTTAGCTATATAGGATCTCAACAAACTATTAGCTATATGTTGCCCTGTTCGCTTGGCTGATAAGCCATGGCTGAAAGTACTGTTGGCTGATTTGTTGTGAGAGAAAAATACTGTTCGTTGACTGAAAAAGTACGGTTTATAAGCCATGCGAACAGGGCGTGAATCTACAGCCTGTTCGGCTGGGGCTGAAACGGTCATATACGATCGTGGATTATTACTGCTGGCTAGTTTGGTGTGAGAGAAAAATACTGTTTTAACTGAAAATTTACGATCGTTTACGACCAAGCGAACATACCGTTAAACATGCCTGACAGACTAAAGGAGCTTTTTTTTTTTAAGGAGCTGTTGTGCAGCTTGCTAATGCTAAAGTCCTAGTTTCGGTCAAGTCTCTTCCATGACGAGTTTGTTCAGGGTCGCAATTCGAAGATTTCCATGTGACAGTAAGGACTAAGGAAACATTCAATAACCTAACAGAAGGGTAACTTTAGGTGGGTTTGTACATGCATTCCACAAATAACATTTCACATGGCTTCTGATACTAGTGGGCATGGTAACTTTAGACCCAGCTATCAAGACTTCAAAAGTCAAGCTATGAACAAGGAATGCATCGTTGAAGTACAAATCCAGTTTTTTTTTAAGGAGTAATTTAAAAAACAAGCCTAAAACTTAGTTTTCGTGTACTGGAAAATAAAAACAGGTATCCTGAAATTTGCTCTTTTTTTAGAATTGCAAGAACAAACAGATAACAACGGTTCCCAAAGTTGCAACAAATTAAGTTCACTTGTCCACGGAGCAAAGTACCAGCACAAGCATCCCAACTTACAACATTCGATGAGCCAACATCCAAACATTCAACATTCAGTTAATACCAACCATTTTGACTAAAAAACTACCAGGTGGCACTTTCCACCAACGGATTACACCATCACAACCCCAGCCGAGGGTAACCATCAGTCCAGCATTACCACTGGTGGCAGAGCAGCAACACTGGTTTCAGTTTTTGGAGCTCGGATGATCCACTTCATCCCATCGCCATATGGTGCCATCTTCGCCAGCTCCAAGGATTGTGCTAGATAAGGAAGATGTGGTCACATTTTATCAATCAACCATGGAAACAGAAAAAGAAAATGCACAAGCGTATGACATGCTATTGAGAATTTCTCAAGCAGAACAAAAAAAAAAGCAAATGCTAGAATAGACAGTACACCATAGCGAGCATTAGAGTGAGGTACCTTCCATCGAAGGACACTGCAGTTTGCCTTATTGGCGATTTGCATTGCTGATTATACAGCCTGAAAATGATGAAGCATTCGCATCCAGAAGCATAACAGTTACTAATTCAGCAACAATACAAGTGGAAGACAAGAATAACTGAAATCTTGCAGTAAAAATTACCGAGCAATTAAGACAGGAGGGCTGGACTGTACTTCCCACACGTATATTTTTCCTTCACGATTGCCTGTTTGAAGTAGTGGATGGTTATTAGAGCAGTCAACTTTTCCTGTATCTCTAAATATAATCAAACACATCTGAATTTATTTGCAGATATCTGATCAGCAAATATTCCTATGGGGAAAAAGGTCATATATATGTGTTAACAGATTGCCATTCAAAAACATCAAAACAACTTGTGGTGTGTGAAATTTTACAAAGCAAAAAAAAAAAAAACTTAAATAAAACGTCAGAAACAATCCTGATGAGAGATATTACCTATCGCCAACTGATTGAAGTGAAAATCACATGAAAATTTGATGAACCAGATGTCACATTCTGGGACAGGGTACTTCTGAAGAATATCAATGCTTCCCTATGAGGCAACAGAAAATCATATTACTTCAGTGGAATATATTTAATATGGGCAGTTAGTGCCTTCAAATCTAAGACATCACTGGAAATAGTTTACAACTGTAGGTAAGTATATGGCATTATGATAGGTATACAATTCTGGGAAAGTTAAACTGAATTACCTCCCCAGGACTCTGTTCTTTTGTCTTTGGTTCCCAAAGCACAATTTCATTGTCAACACTCTGCAAATAGAATTTTTTCACAGATCAGATCCCTCATTAGGCACTGAGAAAAAAGATTGAAAACTGAACACTTGCACAGTACAGCCATAGATGAACCAGACAGTGGCATGTCAAACCAACAAAAGAGTGACAACTGTGCTACAGAAATTTGTATCCATTTTAACGAATCAGAAATTTCACCTTTGATAGGATGAAGTCACCAAGCCATCTTGTACAATCAACATAGTTAGAGTGTACTGCAGCAATCAAGACCTGAAACAAAAGAAACAGGTCAGTCTGATGGCATGAGGACTAAACACCAACAGGGATTTACAAGAGAATGGATAAAGATAATTATGAATGTTTAACATACCGGAAACTGGACATATTTTGTTGGGAACTTTGATGGAAGGTCAGTCCATGAATATGATTTGTCAACATATAGCCAAAATTCTGCGACAACATTGGCAAACTCAATGGCATGCAACATGCAAATGCAAACATGAAGCAACTTTGAAGTAGCTTTCTAACCTTTCATTGACCAGATTTTCACAGTGTTGTCCATGCCACAACTTGCAAAGCATTCAATATCACTAGGGTGGAAGTCCTTAAGACAAAATAATGTATTCATCAGTACCTTTATGCCTAATGTAATTGAAGTACAAAAGCAGTAGCAGTCATTAGGGAGTCTTATTTTATCCCTGATGTAACACTCAATAACAAATGATAACATCAGAAGCTCAAAGAATGGTATAATCAAGGCACTTTAAGCAAGTAATGTTCTAAAACAATGTCATAATAATAAGCAGGCACTACTTACAACACTCAACACTTCATTGCGATGACCTCCAGCTCCAGCAAATATCAAGATACAGATCCCTGTATGGACATTCCATAGCCTAACAGATTCATCCTATTCGATAATGTCATATGAAATGGTGTTAAAACTCAGAACAATTATAAAAGAAAAGGTACATTGAACATAAGAACAGGTTATCACATAACCTTGCTTGCAGAAATGATGAGCGAAGGCTTCAACGGTTGAGTTCTTATCTCATTTATTGAGTCACCATGGCCAACAAAGCTCTGCAGAATCCCGTAAACAGAACTACCAAATAAGACACACAGTGCACGTCCTAATAAATGGTATAGGGGATAGTATTTATTAGCATGCCCAATCTCTTGCCAATACGTATAACGTAAAAATAGATACACTAGGTTGATGTGTCTTGACTAAAAGTCTATAACGGACATATTGACGTATTCAAAATCCAGAATATTCTGTAGGCAAAAGGTACAGTTTGCTAATGGTATTAATGCATAGCAAGCAACAGTCCTTAACTAAAGCAAATTCAAATGACCTTCTGGATCAGATACCATAGATAAAGTGGTATCTGCCAACTAAACAACTGAACTATTGATATGCAAGTAAAGCTTCATTCAAGTTTGCCATAGGAACACATACAAGTCTAAGGGTACCTTACCTTAGCTAACTTCTCTGTAGCACAATTGATGACCCGAATGATCCCATTGCTTCCTGCTGCCACCAGCAGTGGTGAGCCATCATCATGGTCACGAGCCCAGCTTAGAGTATAGAATGACTCATCCTTCTGAGGTAAATAGGCGTCATGAGCATTAGAGAAAGCACACTATCAAACTTAAAATCAGCAAGAAAAGGCAGTGGGCATTGTCTTTCTTACATCCTCATCAATGTAAGCTTGTAGAAGAGCAAAACTACCATTCTCAAGGCAGCGGTAAGTGGTCACCTGCAAGATCAAGAGGCAAGATAAGAGACTTCTCAACACAAGCAGGTGAAAGCAGCATGGACATTAAAAGATTATCTTATAATCATTAATCAAAGTAATATCGGTACTATCTGATTGCCCACACCTCACTATACTTTCCCCAATGATAACAATTTCTCTGTCAAAGGTTGCAGCTTTTCATCAAATGAACTAGCAAACTCCATGTTTCGGCAAAACAAATCACAATACTCGGAATATTACAAACCTCAAATCCCCAATAAAAAATAACCGAATGTCTCAGCTTTAGATCGAATTTGAAACAAAAGCGCTCCGCTTCCTAAAACCGACCACCAAAATCACCAAAAATCATAGATTTACCTAGTCATTTACCATCAAGAACTCCCCAAACTTCAGGAAGAAACAAAAAAAGACAACAAGAGGGAGCAATCGATGGCTTACTCGGTTGCCGCCGACGGTGGCGAAGACATCGTAGTAGCGCGCGTCCATGAAGTTGAACCCGATGGCATAGAGCGGGCGCTTCCCCTCAGTGTGCTTGCCGCAGGGCTTGTACTCCCGCTTCCGGCTGGGCACGAGCGACCCCTCCGCCGCCTCGCACCCGAGCCCCTGTCCCGGGCCCAGCTTCGCCATGGCCGGCGGCAGCGGCAGGATTTCCGGTTCCGGCCAGTACTTCTCCCCCTCCTCTGCTGCTTCCCCCTCCGCCTGATTCTCCTTGTTATGCACCGGCGGCGGCCTGGGCTTCGGGTTAGAGGCGGCAGCAACGGGGACGGTGACCTCACGCGGCGACCTCTTACGGCGTGGCTGGGGCGGCGCCGCACTGTGGAGTTTAGGGATTCAACGCAGCACAGCAGAGGTTAAATAGAGGACTAGCAAATTGGAAGGGGCTTTCAGACTTCAAATCGAATCTCAAATCCAAGCTAGAACAAAAGCTGGAATTTGCTGGAATTGAATCCTGGAGCCTTTCTGGTGTACAGTTGTAGACCGTCAGTGTCGCGGCGGCCGCAGAGGCAACCGGGCTGCGGCGCAACGGCGAGGGTTTTGTGGGTTTGGGCAAGCATAGGAAGGGGTCCGGGCAATAGAATTCAGTGCCTGTTCGAAAGACAGGAATTTTGAATGAACTTTTACACGAATCAGTCTGTTTTTTAAAAAAAAACATAGGAACAACAAAATGTCCGCGCTCCAATTTCCAAACAGGTTTTAAGCCATTTTTCATTATTTGATTTTCAGATTTGCTCCTTATAGTACACTAGAGTCAAAAAAAAAATTGAGATTAGATACCTCAAAGAACAGGACTGTCGGACTGGGATTTAGGATTTGAGTTTGGGATTAGGTATTTACCCTTGCTAGAGGATGGAAAAATTCACCTCAGAACAATAGTGGTAAGGCAGAACGACGTGATTACCTCTCCCAAGTGGTGGGAGCCTGTCGACAGCTGGTGGATACGGCAGGGCCATCGGAGCCGGGCGGTGACCATGGCGGTGAGGGAGCTTGACTCAATCATCGACGGTATAGAAGCTAACAAGGGTGCTATCATGGTAAAGAGGGTGGAGAGGGAGAGGCACGCCGGCGAGATGAAGTGAGGCAACACACATCGAGGGTGAGCAATATATATAGGGTTTAGGCAAGCGGCGGCGGCTGCATAACGAGAGAGGAGGAAATAGATTTGGATTTAGGTTAAAGGGGCTTTAGACCGCTGGATCTATGTCCAACGGTTACAAAAAGTGATTAACTTTTAAGCAAAATACAAGTCACCGTTGACAACATGGTACATTAACTTTGTTTTTAAAATCTTCAAAACTTCCATATCTCAAAGAGGAAGAAAAGAAAGAAATTTAAGGATTTAGCTAGAGAAATTTAAGGATTTACCTAGAAATCTTTCATCAGAGCACTCCTTGTACCAATTGCAACCCGTCACTTCTTCCTTTCAACTTTTCTTACCATTTAGGGCAAGGTTGATACTCAATGGTGGTTTAACTTATGGTGATCGGTAAGTTTGGATGTCACTACAGAGTAGACACAAATGATTTTAGTTTGTTGATGAAGCATGCAGAGGTTATTGGTGCTCCACGATAGAGTATGTGGTAAGGGAAAAGTACAAAAAAAGTGTGACATAATTTTTTACAACAACAACAAGCAAACCAAACAAAAAGGATTGAAAATGGATTTGACAACAAAAGGCAAAACTTGTTGACTATTATATACACCTCCCTATTATTTATACACATGAGGCACATAAGACAAATGGACTAAATACGAAGCACTACAAAAGGACTAGAATAGGAAAATTTTAAACAAGATTTAGAGGTTAGGATTAGAGATTTGGGTTTGAGAGTTGACACATTCTTGATTTAGGGGGCAAGGATTTTCCTCATGTCAATGTGTTTTTAGAAGGATTGTGGGGAGGAAAAGTTTAGAAGGATTTACCTCATCCAAATGGACTAGGCACAAAGCATTTCAAATGGATGAGACACAAGATGCAACAAGGAATTGATTAAATCAATCATTGTTTATAATACAAGGACTAAGAAAACTTGCTATATCAAAAATAAGAGATTGCAATTAATCATGCAGTAGGGTTGTACTACTTACATGCAAATTAAATAGATGAATGTATATATAAATCCATCCACATCCTTGTATGGTGTAGTGATTTAGTCATCCCTTGTGGGATCTTCATCGTGATAGGCCATGCCGTGCAATGAAGATGTTTTTGGGGAAGAAGGAGAAGGGGACATTACTTTGAAGAAACAAAGAAGGGTTTTTGGTAATGTTCATGGTTAATTAAAAGTTTATGCAGACTCTGCTAAACTTTCTAGACCTAAATTTGTAAAACATGTGAGGATGACTTTTTTTAACTTTGTCAAATAGGGTACAGTTTTTTGGTCCTATTCCACGTGAGGAGGAATTATTTTTTATAGAGCTTGCTAGATTAAGTGACTAATATCACGCAGATCCATATCACCTAAATTATGTTGAAATTAGATTTATGTGTTTTGGTTTGGGCTTAAGGATGGGTTTGGAGGATTAATGGCTCTTGGGGGTAGGGATTTAGCACATGCTCATGAATTTAGAGATAATAGTATGGACAAAAGTCAGTTATCGTGGCGGTAATAAGAGGTAGGCTCTAGCAATGAAGAACCTTCAATTGGTGGATGAGCTTATAGGCAGGGGTGGAAGCTCATGGAGATGAAATTGGGCATCCACCCCTTCTTCGAAAAAGATTTAGTTCAGTCAGAAAATGTCTGATGCTTCATAGGACTGCAGCTATATGTAGACATATAGCCCTGAGTTGAGAAGCTTTGATATCTACAATACTACCATTTAAAATTGCCCCCTCCCCTTAATTTTGGTTCACCTCCACCACTTGTTGTAGGGGTGGAGAGAATCTAGCTCCAAAAAATATTGGAGATGGAGTAGGATGACATGGTAGGGGAAAACTTTTTGAAATCATGTTGGGGAGTTAGGATGGATGAAGAGTCCCAATAGGGATCTAATGTAGTGTGCACCAACGGACCTATCTTTGGTTCTAGCGAGGTAGCAGTAATTGATTATTGGTAGTGGCAACAAGGCTAGGAGTGGTATATGCATTAGTGTCAGTGTAGAAAGAAGATAAGGTATAGGAGATAAAGATAAAAGAGATGGAGTTAGGGGTAAAAGAGAGGAATGTGTTTGAAATGCGGCAAGATCCAATGGCTAAAAAATATAAAATGTAAAGACTAACTCTATCTAATAACATTGTTTCTCTTTATAATGGCCTTTTTTATTGGGTAAACAACAAACATCTACTAAAATAGCAATACAAATAATTAATTAATCTAGACATATGACACTGATCAGCCCAACATAATGTAAGGAATGTTCCACGTTATTACATGCCAAATTTTGAGATATATATATATATATATATATATATATATATATCTCACAATGGGAGAAAATACATAAATATATTGAATAATGCATTCCTAAGTTAACACTTTGTTTTCAATTCTTATAGAATTATTCTATATTTTAGATATGTGGAGAAACAAAATTGGATTTGAAAAAGAATTATTTACATAACAATAACACGCAAAATGGACTAGACGTAAAGCATTACAAATGGATGTTACACAACATGTGGCAAGGAATTCCACATACAAAATTCTATTCTATCAATATTCTGAGTGCAAGGGTTAAGAAAACTTTTTATATTGGAAAGAAATGACATATAATCATCATGGTATGATAGTGCAACTCATCGGTCTCTACAAATTTCATGGTATAATTCATGATCACATTGACTTAATATTATTTTATTGTGAAATTGTTCAAACTCATGTGCATGAAGGTACTAAGCATAAACATATCTTCATAAGTCAAATAAACATATATACATAGATTTAACTTGAATTTGAAGCCAAGATTTTGTAGGAGTATGCCTTACCTCTTTCTACGTGATTCATATTTCTTTCTATTGGACTCGTGTTCCTTATTACTAGACTCTTGACTTTTTCCACCTAACACATTTTTATTGCCATCATAATCATGCATCATTCCACCATGTTCACCTTGTTTCTTGCCATGAGACTGTTTTTCCCACGATTAGACTCCATCAGGGTTGACAATGGGATTTTCTATAGGTTTTTTATGATTAATGACTTTGAAAGAGGGATATATATGAGTAGTCCAGGTAAAGGGAAAGTTGAGATGAGCATCGATGAGGTTGATAGGAAAGATGAATGTTTTGTGATGGTTGATAATTGTGGAAGAGCTAAACAGTGAGAAGGGGAGATGGAGGTGGCACTCTCAATGAGTCAATGAGAGAGACCTTATAGAGACATGGGAATGTGGTAGTAGGGTTGTCAGAAAATTTATACATGGAAGAGGTGAATAATTATGTACAGCTTTAATGGTAGGCTCTTAATATCCATGAGATGCCAGAAATGCCCATCTTCATTATGTTTCGAATTTGTATTTGTTAGTTTGTATGGATTCTTAAAAAACTAGTAGAAAATGGATAGTATTTATATATGCACAGGCCTCCTCCTCTCTCTCTCTCTCTCTCTCTCTCTCTCTCTCTCTCCCTTCTCAATCTCCATTATGGATTTTTCAAGAAAAGCATTAAAGTTAGAGTTTCCCAAGAATGTTATATGCTAATAGAAATGTTGGTGTATATAAAAAAACTAGCGAGCTGACTTGCATGGCAAATTGAGCATAGCTCAATTAGTTAGGTTCCTCTATCCACTTGGGTTGTTGACTTGGCACAAATGCTAGTATTGTTTCAAGATTTATTCCATAATTGAATGATAATATTTTTTAGTGGTAAGCGTGCCCATCAATGGACTTTGTCAACAAGATTTGTCAGTTGTGTCTTTCGAAGATGCCCAAAAGGGTAGGGCATGACATCAAAATATCATTTGAACTGCAATTACGAGCAATCATATATGCAAAAGGGTGCAATATTATGTTTTATCCTATGCCAATTTTGTCAGTGGTAGACGATTCATGTAACATCACATTTTATAGCTGGAATATCTACAAATATCCAAGGACCATACCCCCACCATCACGAAATTAGTCAATTTTGAGTTGTTCTAAGTCAAACTATATAACCTAATTAGTTTGATTAAGTTTCTAGAAACAATTAATGGTGTTTACGAAATCAAATGAGCGTCATTAGATATAAGAAATGTATTTTTATAGTTTACCTATTTGAGGTCATATATGTTAATATTATTTTAATGTAAATTTAGTCAAACTTAGGGTAATTTGACTTAGAAAAAACTCAAATCCATTGTATTTCAGTACAGAGAAAGTATACCATAATAACTCTTGGCTTTATGGTCGATCAATGTGAAGACATCTATGGTGACGTGAAGGATGACACTGTCGCGAAACAAACTGCAACCAAAGTTGCTATCATTAGAAGGAAGAAGAACCTTCCCTCATAAAGAAAAACAAAGAAACAAGAAGGATTGAACCGCAAGACTTTGAAGCTGCTGGGGACTCTGCTACCGAAACTAAAGATTCTGAATATGGAGAAAAACAAGCAACTTTTTTTTTGAATATGGAGAAAAACAAGCAACTAGCAGGAAGGGCCGCAGGCAATGGGCTAGGAAGCCCACCTCTAGCTTCTGTGGGCTGGAGTAGGTTAAATTTCAGCTGCCGATGCAGCACGCTTGTACTTATACAAGTCGTACTCGCCTAACAAGGCTTATGAAGAACTTGAGATTTATTGGTATTCCATATATCGTATATCGTAGAGAAATCGTAGTCTACTGAATATCCCATATCATACTTGAGTGCTTAGCATACATGTGGTCTAGGGTAGCTTTTCAATTGACTTACACCAACTCTAAAGAAATTAATTTCTATATTAGTCGGGGGAGGATGTGGTTCATTTTCTCAATCCCGCTTCTAAGCAACAATCTATACACTCCTTTACCATACAAAAACAAGAATTAAATACATGTTACATGCACCCTTATTTTTGCATATACTCCGTATCCTATATAAAAAAATAAAGCTATGCACATATCTTTATTTCCTCAGAGATATATACTATTTATTGGCTTGCTCCCTCACAATAGTAGTTGACGTTAGGACAAGAAAACTAACTGCTCCATAAAAACTAAGCGATTGTTCATTTGCTTTGTCCTAACATCAACTATTTATACTGTTGAGTGAAGGGAGTATATGTGCAGGTTTTAGTTGTATAAAACTGAACACCCTTGTATACCTTTCTTAATTTGAAATCATGTTTTGTTCATATAAGTGCACCTAGCTAGTCAAATCAGCTAGTGAACGAAGTTTGGCAGAGACTTGTTGTTCTCAACTGCCTACCTGCTCCGGCACATGGCTCTAGCTGTTCTACTCCTGGTACGAGCTACTACCTAAGCTAGCCCAAGCATGTCACGCAGAAAAAAAAAGGCTACTCCAAGAATCTTGTTAATGCAAAGAGATTCTGAAATCGCTTTCATTCATTCATGTTATCAGCGCGGCAGACATTTTTGTGGTGATTTGTAACACTTCCAATCAAAAAGTTCATTTCATACTCTTGTTCAAGCTAAACCCTGTGCTTTCAGTATATTTCGTTGTTATATATGTTGGAGCCAAACCTAAGCAGGGAGAAGTCCCAATCCACAATTCATTATGGGCAAAACATAAGTTTTGCAAGTCAATGAATTAGCTAGAGAGAGAGAGAAACTGCAGTTATAGCATGCAGTGTGTTTCTCATTATAACCTCGCTAAGTTAAGAAACTGAACAGAAACGGATTAGTCCTCTTTGACTAAGAATTTTTCAGTGCGTTACCTTCTACCTTTGGATTTAACTCAGTTCAAACTTCTAGATATGTTTTTTTAGATGGAGAAAATTTTGGATTTAACTCCTGCCGGTCAAATTTAAATTGAATCCTATAAGTATTTGTTTGAACTTTACAAAAATCTGAGAACTTTAGAACAATATAATCCCTCGTCCAACACACCCACTTAATGAAGAGTATGTTTGGCATATAGCTTTGTCATGAGAATGACTCCAGCAACAAATTGAACCTTTTGCTAAGCACTGTTACTTTTAAGGCACCTATATACATTTTGGTAGTATTGAGTTATATGCACCGACCAATATTCAACTAAAAAACTTAAGCTAATAGGGAAGGTGGACAATTTACTTTATATTTCAACACTCCCCTTTTAGCCTTGATACCATACTAAGTTGCATGTACTGACCAATTCAACTCAAACAAGGGCAATTCACTCTGTAATTCAAGAGTGTGGGCCGTGGGGAGATAATTATTTAACTAAAAGATCCACAAGAGACTGAATTGCGTCAAATCTCACTAAGTTTGTTTTTTACCTTTTCAACCTACAACTTTATATACAATTTTATCTTCAACTTCTATGTGTCGATTTTAATTTGCTTGATTTTGACACCAAGCTAGGTCCACCTGAAAACGATGGGAAATTTTTGCCCGACAAATGCGCGTGCCCCCATGCGTGCACAGCTTCTATACATACATGGATTTTGGACGCTTTTCGTTTTCATGCAATCAAGCCATTTCCATTTAAAACATATCCTGATACCATGTCGTTTTCGTGTTATGCACTTTCAATTGTATATGTTGGTCATGAAATCATCATGAAACTAAAATGAGGAAGGAAAAACAGGATAGATCAACAACTAGCTCATACATGAACAAATAACTAATGTTCACAAGATGGAATAGACCCCATATCTAACATAGCGTTGTGATGTCTCACCTAACATCAAACCCACAGTTTGTACCTTCTCATATGTGAAGTTTGTACTCTTTTCATAAACACAGGAACGGAATAGCTAACCTTCACAAAAGAAATGTACCTACTACAGCCCCCACGCCTTCACAAGACTCTCTACCTTTTCTCATATGTGCTAACTAATGTGTACATGCATGTATGCATGTGTATAGGGTGTTGGTGCTAACTTATGCAATCAGCCAGCAACCAATGAATTTATTGGCATCAGCTATACGTGGAAAGCAGACATAGGGACCAAGCAGAGGCCCTTCTTCCTCATCAGCTCATTGTTGTCATATGCACTATCTTCCTTGATTGATGTGTCTATTGTTGTGTTTGCCCCATTTACATCACTGCCTGTACTCTTCCGCTGTAAATACAGGAGAATGTATATCAAAGTGTGATTATTATTATTTTTTTAATAAAAATTGTTCTTTTATGTGCCCTGCTGGAGGTCAAACTATATAAAAGCTAATGATGAATCTCGTTAAATAAACAAATGATGAGTCTCTATTCTATCAACTCAGTGTGAACACTGCAGTCTGAAACCTCCAAAATAAATTGAAAACTATAAAACATGCTGCAATTAACTTAAGTAGTATTCGATTACCAGGCTTAGACAGACATATATCTCTGATCAGACTACTTGCACGCAAAAAAAAAAAAAAAGAGAAAAGAGCAATGGCAAAAAAAAAAAAAGGTTGAGAATTTCTGTTGGGGTCACCTTAGAACGCGAAATCTCATCACAGGAATTTACTTTCGTCTGGTGGTGGGTGGCATCGGAATCCCTGGTCAACTCAATCAACTGAAACCATACAATAAAATTTACTTCTTCCACCAGAAAATTGAACTAAATCTCCCAACAAACCAAAAACTATCCAAATTTTACATGTGCAAAATAAACAGAGAGAGAGAGAGAGAGAGAGAGAGAGAGAGAGAGAAATCTGTTGTGTAACACGTAATAATAAGCTTGTAAGTATGCTCTGACCTTAGGGCTACTGATAGGAGACGTGGCAGTATCCTCCAAGGACTCATCATACATGACCTTCTTCCTCCTCCAGCCCTCCCTAATAGGCTCAACCTTCTCGACACCACCGACGGTTCGGCAAGCACCGGCAGCCATGTGGAGGCTCCTACTCCAGTATCACTGCTGCACTCGGATGTAGAACTGCATCGTCGTCCAGCTCCAGCATCGTCAGTGGAGGGATCACCAGCACGGCGGCTCACCTCCTCCTTGCGTCGCTGCTGCTGCTGCGTCTCCATGAAGTAGTCGATGTAGGACGTCCAGCCGCTCTCCTCGGAGGAGGCGCTGCCGCCGTCGCCGGAGAAGGAGTGGCTGGCTGTGGAGGAGAGGTCTTCGCCTGAGTTCTCCATCAGGATTGAGGAAGAAGGTGCAGGTGGGTCGTCGAGGCCTTGAGGGGGTGAAGTGTTGCTGTCTCTTTATATACACGGAGCCAGCGGTATTGAATGGTGGTGTGACTTGTTGCTTGTGTGTTGGAGGGCACACAGCAGAAAAGGGGTTTACATACAGTAATTTGTGTCGGAGAGATAATAAGTGGCTGAAAAAAATTCTTTTTATTTATCAGTGAAAACAAGTTTATTTAGTGTAAAGGTCCAATTTTGCAACTTTTAACCTGCAGTAACTAATCAAATTATATAGTATGTGTTTAGTGTACAAAACTTACTATCAATGGATTCATATTAAGATAATTTTTAAGATGATATGGATGTTGGTTTTGTAACAGATTGACAGTATATTGTAAGAGAAAATAAATTTCAAAATCCAAATTTTGGAGACTTTCTTCGAAAAGCATGTCGTATATATATTGATTGATGAAACGTGTGACCATGTCTCTAAAAGACCGAATTTATATATGAAATTGTTTTTCAGATAGTTCAACACAGAATGAAAATTATTTGCAGTCTTTTTCCGGATGGTTACAATCAGCCCTCTGTTTTCATCTGTTCTCAAGAACTTTAACATATCCAACTTGTTCAGTTAATCATGCACAGTGGATGGATGGAGGTGGTTCTTCTCGTAGAAAAATAAATTTCGCGACGTGGTCATCTAAGATTCACGACTCACTGTCACATATTGCAATGAATAATTCAGCATACATATACATATAATAACCTTTCTAACCTACGATATTGATCATAATGAACTCTTTTTTGTTATCCATGGAATCATCGATGGTGCTGTACGTAGTACGTGGACTACTCCTGACTAGCTATATGTCCGGCTATATCCAATAATCATGGACAGCCACAGTTATTCTTTCTGCCTGCTGCAAGCTGCAACAATTCAAAATAAATTAAGAAGAATTCGCATTCGAGTGGCGCAGATTAATCTTGGCCATCTGAGTTCGACTCCTCCCTTTTCTATATAAATTATCAGAGGAGCGAGGCGTGTCTGTCTGTCTGTCCCCAACACAGCATTTTTATATATCACGTTTCATACAAGCAGAATAAGATAAGTTTAACATCAAGCAGGCAAATTAGTTGCCAGGTCACAACGTTTACCAGAAAACCAATCAATTAGAGGACGGTAGTACAAGGCAATCTACCTGCTACGGCATACTAGCTATAGGTAGACAAGAGCATCTCCAAGAACTATTGGAAACTGTTGGAACTACTGCATACTTGCGAGTTTTTAGAAACTATTGGAGGAAGGCAACAAATATGCTCCTAATTTTTTTAGCCAGTTCTAAAACTCATTGATTTACCGAATATTCTTTTCGGAACTATATATTGGATATATATGCTCTAATAATCAGCAGAGAGAATAATATGAAAACAAAAAAAGGCGTGCCGTCAACAACCATCATCTGAAAGGTACACGTACACGCATGCAGGTCGCTAAAATAGCTAGACGTGGCGTGCCATGTCTGCCCTAGGCAGGCAGGGAGGGGCCGGCAGCGCGTGGCCAGCAGCCCAGCAAGCAAGAACGGAGAAACGAACGAAGGAGGGCCGGCCGGGCCTTTGTGAGCTGAATCGGCCTGGGGACAGGAAGGGATGGCCATTGACGTCTGAGAACGACGCACGACAGCAGCAGCAGCGGCGTCCTCCTTCCTCCTCTCCTCCTCCTCCTCCATGGATGACTCGTCAGTCAGTCAGGGCGTCCAAGTCCAAGTGAACAGACAGACCACACGCGCGCTGGGGCTTTCCTTCCTCTGCACCTGCTGCGTCACATCAGATCACGCGTGTGCATGTGCATGTGCATGTGCATGTGCAGCCATGCGTGTATCGATGGCGTTGTCCTATGACAAAAGCAAGATAAGCGCTCCTTGCTAGTCTGTCAGCACTTCTCTTGTTGTTTACTATTAACTGATTCTAAGAAACAACCAAACTTATTAACAGAGGCAGATAAAAATTGTACATATCTAAAAAAATACACATATATTTTCAGAGACGGACAGTTCATTGATAGAGACAAGCTAGCAAACTACCGCCTCATAAAATCTATTAACAGAGATAGGCATCCTAAAAGATCCGTCTATGAAAATAGACAGGGTGTTCGGCTAGTACACTCAGCCACTATAGCATGGCTGATTTTGGATAATTTAATAGTGTTATGTAAAAGAGAATAAGCTAAAATAATCCGAGAACAGATCAGCCGAACAACAGAGAATCTATTCATCTCTACATGGTCTATATATATAGAGAGAGAGAGAGGATATTAGTTTTTATATCAATGTCTCTCTATCAGTCGGCGCTCCCTTCCCCAAATCCCTCTCCTATCCCTGTCACCCCCTTCTCTCTTCCCAAAATCCTCTCCAATAATCCCTTCAGCCATCGACCCTATCCACCCTCATGACTTCTCTCATGGGTGGTGGAGTTCACGCATCCACACTCTCTTCCTCCTCGGTAGTGGAGGTGGCTGAGCACGCGGCTCTTCCTCCACGACGGTGGCACACGAGCACGTGGCTCTTCGTCCACGCCAGCGGCACGCACGTGCGGCTCTTCCGCACCTATAGTAGCAGTGAGCGAAATAGTGAGATCTCCATCGCTACCTCTTCATCTCTGCTCTCTCTCTTCATGCTCACCATCATCACCTCTTCACCCCCTTCTCTCAGTAGGTGCATGCTCTTGTCCACCAGGTCTACCTCGATCTCCACCAGATCACACATTAGCCTGGTGGACAGACACACGCCTCAGCCATATCTATAGCGGTCGTCGCAGCGGGGCGAGCACAGGGCTCGGTGGCAATGGACTCCAGGTCAACTCTGATGGGCTCGGTGGTGGTTAGGAAGCAGAGCATGGTGGCTATTTTTTAATTTTGCATTCCATTTTTTATAGGCGGTGTAAACCCTTGATTAACAGTGACCTTATCCCAAAGACGGGGAGCTGTTGCCTGCCTTTGAAAACCGTTTCAGCCTGTCTCTGAAAATTGGTTTTGTAGTAGTGTTAATTTCACTCATTCATGTGTTTTGTCATTGATATTATTTTTATTTTCTTGATGGACCGAGTTTGATTTATACTTTAGACTATCTTTTCTGTAATAGTAGAGGTGAGTAATTTAATTGTTTTGGAAACTATAGTAGATCAAAGGGGTATTATTGTTAATGAATAGTATCAAAGTTTATGGAATTGATGTCCATATGTTTCTAATTCTTTTGGGGGATTTCTAGGACTCATATTTACAAGCATGTCTTTTACGTGGGGCTCAAAAGGAACCTCTAATTATAATATGGGTGAGTAATTTAGATGAAAATTAGGTGTTACTTTAGGTTATTTTCAAAGCGGCAAAGTGTGTAATTTTGTTATATATTTATATGGTTATTTTTATGCTATTTTCCATAATGGTGGAGATTGTTAATTTTTTGGAAAACAACAAAGATCCAATGGTTGTTGCACTGTCAATGATGATTAGAGACTACTAAATTGATAATTGATAGTATGATGTTTTTGTTGTTTCTAGCTAGAATTTCTAGTATTTATCCTATTTCTAATGCTTCTACTAAAAATTAAGGAAAAAGTCTACATAACCCCCTCAACTATTCAGGGTGGACTACTTCACCCCCAAACTATAAAACTAGATTTTCTACCCCCTAAACTTTCTAAAACCGGTCAAATAACCCCCCAGGCGGTATTGGATGGTGGTTTTGCTACCGTGACGGTGATTTTGTCTTTTTCTTTTTTTATTTATTTCCACATAGTAAATCATAAAAAATCATAAAATGGAAAATCTAATTTTATTGGACTCCACATGAGTAGGTGTACACACTGAATATATAATATATTATTCTTTAGTACAAAGTTTTTGTTGTAGCTTTATATCTATGTTTTTCTATAATTAATTAAAATAATTTATAGCTGCAGCTTCTATGGTCCAATTATGGTGAAATTTTTATGGTGAGCTAATTATTGTATGCTTGAACTACAGTAAAATTTTCATACTCAATGGATCATATATAACTTAGTTATAAATAAAGCATAGATTTAATAAGCATAAATCTAAATAAATCTATAACTAAGTTATACATAATCCAATGAGTATGAAATTTTTACTACAGTTCAAGCATACAATAATTAGCTCATCATAAAAATTTCACCATAATTGAACCATAGAAAGCTGCAGCTATGAATTATTCCAATTAATTAAAAAAACATAGATCTAAAGCTACAGCAAAAACTTTATACTAAAACATACCATATTATATGTTCACTATGTAGATCTACTCATGTGGAGCCTAACAAAATTGAATTTTCCATTTTGTGATTTTTCTATGATTTATTATGATTTTTCAAAGATTCAGCGGAAATAAATAAAAAAGAAAAAGACAAAACCATCGTCACCGTAGCAAAACCACCGTCCAAAACCGTTAGAGGTTATTTAATCGGTTTTGAAAAGTTTACAGGATAGAAAATCTGGTTTTATAGTTTGGGGTTGAAGTAGTCCACACTAAATAATTGAGGGGGTTATGTAGACTTTTTTCTAAAAAATAACTGGGATGCACGAAAAGGAATATATAGTTAGCAATAGTAAGATTCAGAACGACTTGTAAACATCTATTTTACGCTGTCATATTGAATATAATTTGTCCATAAATAAATATTTTAGATTTCCTTTTATTTGGGCTAGACGGGCCATCCTACTGGGCTTAGGCCCAGCTCTAAAGCGAAAAAAAATCAGGCCAATCTATGTCAAATCAAAACCGGAGGGCTAGCTGCCCGTGTTCCTGCATACTACTGACGCTGTCTAAGCCCATGTTTAGCTGGGAGAAAGTTGGAATTTGGCTACTGTAGCACTTTTGTTTTTATTTAGTAATTAGTGTTCAATCATAGACTAATTAGACTCAAAACGTTCGTCTCGTGATTTCCAACCAAATTGTATAATTATTTTTTTTTCGTCTACATTTAATACTCCATAT